TATGTATGTATGTATGTATGTATGTATGCATGTGTGTGTGCGTGCGTGTGCATGTGTTTGTCTGTACAGTACAGTGCGTGCATAATTCTTAGGCAAGTTGATATTCTGATCATATTTTTTTTTTACCAAGCACATTTGACCAATTCCAAACCACATCAATCTTCATATCTACTATTAATTTAGTATTTAATCATTTATAAGTGATATATAATTGTCCCTGAAGGCTGGAAGTGAAAAACTTCATATATTCATGTGTGCATAATTATTAAGTACGTTTTCTTTTACCGATAAAATGAGGCAAATAAAAGAGATTTAACAAAAAAATGATTAAATGCCCATGAGAAATATTAAAAACTAATGCACTACAGAAATTGCAAAGTTAAGGCATGACCATTGGACAGCAAAATGCTCATTGGGTCAGCAGGGTCAGAAAAAACAGATTGGACAATTATATATCACTTATAAATGATTAAATACCAAATTAAAAGTAGTTATTAAGACTGATGTGGTTTGGAATTGGTAAAATGTGGCAAAACTTGCAAGAATTATGCACACACTGTACTGTACAGACAAACACACACACGCACACACACACACACACAAACATACATACATACATAAATATGAATATAAATATAAATATAAATAATCTCCTATAGAATCCAAGGCCACTAGGAGCGTACTACAACCTTTAGAAAAAACAAAATTTTGGTGAATTAGTTTTTAATGAAAATAGTTGTGTGCTGTACATACAGTAAGGGTGTTATTGCCAAAATTTCACCTGTAGTAAGTCAGTCTGGTCACTATGAACGTACTGCAACCTTTGGAACATAAAACACTTTTAGTGAATTTCATTAATTTTTTTCTAAGAATAATTATGTACTGTACTGTACTTTCACCTGTAGTAAATCAGTCTGGCCACTAGGAATGTACTACAACATTTGGGACATAAAAAACCCTTTTGGTGGATTACAGTAATTGTTTTCTAAGTATAATTATGTACTGTATGTACAGTAATGGAGATATTGGCAAAATTTCACCTGTAGTAAGTCAGTCTCGTAACTACAAATATACTACAGCCTTTGAAACATGAAAAAAAAACTTTTGGTGAATTACAGTAATTTTTTTCAAAGATTAATTATGTACTGTATGTACAGTAAGGAAGATATTGGCCAAATTTTAAAAAACCCTTTTGGTGGATTACAGTAATTGTTTTCTAAGTATAATTATGTACTGTATGTACAGTAAGGGTGATATTGGAAAAATTTCACCTGTAGTAAATCAGTCTTGTAATTAGAAACAGACTACAACCTTTGGAACATGAAAAAACCCTTTTGGTGGATTACAGTAATTTTTTCAAGAAAATAGCTGTGTTCTGTACATAGAGTAATGGAGATATTGGCAAAATTTCACCTGTAGTAAGTCAGTCTCGTAACTACAAATATACTACAGCCTTTGAAACATGAAAAAAAAACTTTTGGTGAATTACAGTAATTTTTTCAAGAAAATAGCTGTGTTCTGTACATAGAGTACTGGAGATATTGGCAAAATTTCACCTGTAGTAAGTCAGTCTCGTAACTACAAATATACTACAGCCTTTGAAACATGAAAAAAAAACTTTTGGTGAATTACAGTAATTTTTTTCAAAGATTAATTATGTACTGTATGTACAGTAAGGAAGATATTGGCCAAATTTCATGTTTAGTAAGTCAGTCTTGTAATTACAAATGTACTACAACCTTTGGAACATGAAAAAACCCTTTTGGTGGATTACAGTAATTTTTTCAAGAAAATAGTTGTATACTGTACATAGAGTAATGGAGATATTGGCAAAATTTCACCTGAAGTAAGTCAAGTCAAGTCAAGTCAAGTCACCTTTATTTATATAGCGCTTTTAACAATACAGATTGTGACAAAGCAACTGAACAGCATTAATTAGGAAAATAGTGTCAATAATGCAAAATGACAATAGTAAACACTCATTTTTCAGTTAAAGACAGTTCATCATTGAATTCAGTGATGTCAACATCCAGCTCAGTTCAGTTTAAATAATATCTTTGCAATCATGCCAACGATAACGCTGGAAATGAAGTGCCCCCAACTAAGCAAGCCAGAGGCGACAGCGGCAAGGAACCAAAACTCCATCAGTGACAGAATGGAGAAAAAACCTTGGGAGAAACCAGGCTCAGTCGGGGGGCCAGTTCTCCTCTGACCAGACAAACCAGCAGTTAAATTTCAGGCTGCAGCAAAGTCACATTGTGCAGAGGACTCTTCTGGTTCCTGTGGTCTTGTCCCGGTGGTCGTCTGAGACAAGGTCTTTACAGGGGATCTGTATCTGGGGCTCATCTAGTTGTCCTGGTCTCCGCTGGGAGAGTTAGCAGCGCGCTGTATACTTACCTCGGACTTGTGAGCGTCAGCCTGGGATGTTTCCAGCGCGGTTCTCCGCGCTCTCAGCTGGGTCTGCTTTGCCATCAGGTCCCGGATCTGCTTCTCCACGGCCTCCAGCTCGAGCTGCACCGAATGCATCTCGAACGTGTCCTCACCTGCACTCAAAGGTAGACACACATCCGCCATTAAAGCAAGTAACAGTGAGTAAAACAATGGTAATGTGTGTGAATAGAGTATTAGTGTAAGCGAGATTAGCGGCAACCACGCTGGCGATGCTAGCGGGCTATATGCTAATAGCGGACTCGGAAGTCAAAAATAGAACTAGTGCTAACAAAGCGCTCTGATTGTTTTTGTTGTAGAATACGATAGGGGATATATTCACACGTTATAAAACTGAAAAAGGATGGTGTATAAAATTGATTTTAAGATAAAAAATTAGACGACAAAGAATTAACTTGACGGAGCTCAAACTCAAACCACACGGCAGCAACAAACAGGAAGTCAGTCTCGTAACTAAAAATATACTACAGCCTTTGAAACATGAAAAAAACCTTTTGGTGAATTACAGTAATTTTTTTCAAAGATTAATTATGTACTGTATGTACAGTAAGGAAGATATTGGCAAAATTTCATGTGTAGTAAGTCAGTTTTGTAATTACAAACGCACTACAACCTTTGGAACATGAAAAAACACTTTTGGTGAATTACAGTAGTTGTTTACTAAGAATAATTATGTACTGAATGTACAGTAAGGGTGATATTGGCAAAATTTCACCTGTAGTAAATCAGTCTGACCACTAGGAATGTACTACAACATTTGAAACATAAAAACCCCTTTTGGTGAATCGCAATAATTGTTTGCTAAGAATAATTATGTACTGTATGTACAGTAAGGGAGATATTGGCAAAATTTCACATGTAGTAAGTCAGTCTTATAATTATAAATGTACTACAACATTTGGAACATAAAAAAAACCCTTTTGGTGAATTACAGTAATTGTTTTCTAAGAATAATTATGTACTGTATGTACAGTAATGGTGATATTGGCAAAAGTTCACCTGTAGTAAGTCAGTCTTGTAACTACAAACATACTACAACTTTTGGAACATGAAAAAAAACCTTTTGGTGAATTACAGTAATTTTTTTCAAAGATTAATTATGTACTGTATGTACAGTAAGGAAGATATTGGCAAAATTTCATGTGTAGTAAGTCAGTTTTGTAATTACAAACGCACTACAACCTTTGGAACATGAAAAAACACTTTTGGTGAATTACAGTAGTTGTTTACTAAGAATAATTATGTACTGAATGTACAGTAAGGGTGATATTGGCAAAATTTCACCTGTAGTAAATCAGTCTGACCACTAGGAATGTACTACAACATTTGAAACATAAAAACCCCTTTTGGTGAATTACAATAATTGTTTTCTAAAAATAATAGTAAGGGAGATATCGGCAAAATCTCAACTGTAGTAAGTCAGCCTTGCCACTAGTAATGTGTTACAACCTTTGGAACATGAAAAAACCCTTTTGGTGAATTTTACTACTTTTTTTCTAAAAATAATTATGTACTGTATGTACAGTAAGAGAGATATTGGCAAAATCCCAAGTCAGTCTTGTAACTACAAACGTGCTACAGCCTTTGGAATATGAAAAAAAACCTTTTGGTAAATTCCAGTAAATGTTTTCTAAAAAATAATTGTGTACTGTATGTACAGTAAGGGAGATATTGGCAAAATTTCACCTGTAGGAAGTCAGTTTTGTAACTACAAATGTACTGCAACCTTTGTAACATGAAAAAAACTTTTGGTGAATTTAAGTAATTTGTTTCTGAGAATAATTATGTACTGTACGTACAGTAAGGGAGATATTTGCAAACTTTCACCTGTAGTGAGTGAGTCTTGTAACTACAAACGTACTACAACCTTTGGAACATAACAAAAAGCCTTTTGGTGAATTACAGTAATTTTTTTCTAAGAATAATTATGTATTGTATGTACAGTAAAGTAAATATTGGCAAACTTTCACATGTAGTTAATCAGTCTGGCCACTAGGAATGCACTACAGCCTTTGGAACATGAAAAATACCCTTTTGGTGAATTACAGTATTTTTTTAAAGATTAATTTTGTACTGTATGTACAGTAGTGAATATATTGGCAAAATTTCATGTGTAGTAAGTCAGTCTTCTAACTACAAATGTACTACAACTTTTGGAACATAAAAAAATCCCTTTTGGTGAATTACAGTAATTGTTTTCTAAGAATAATTGTGCACTGTATGTACAGTAAGGGAAATATTGGCACACTTTCACCTGTAGTAAGTCAGTCTGACCACTAGGAATGTACTACAACATTTGAAGCATAAAAAACCCTTTTGGTGAATTGCAATAATTGTTTGCTAAGAATAATTATGTACTGTATGTACAGTAAGGGAGATATTGGCAAAATTTCACATGTAGTAAGTCAGTCTTATAATTATAAATGTACTACAACATTTGGAACATAAAAAAAACCCTTTTGGTGAATTACAGTAATTTTTCAAAAAAATAGTTACGTACTGTACATACAGTAATAGCGATATTGGCAAAATTTCATCTATAGTAAGTCAGTCTGGCCACTAGGAAAGTACTACTTTTGTAACATTTTTTGGTGAATTACAGTAATTTTTCAAAAAAATAGTTACGTACTGTACATACAGTAATAGCGATATTGGCAAAATTTCATCTATAGTAAGTCAGTCTGGCCACTAGGAAAGTACTACTTTTGTAACATTTTTTGGTGAATTACAGTAATTGTTGTCTAATATTAATTATGTACTGTATGTACTGTAATGGTTTTTTATGCATTATCACAATTGTAGACAATTTTAAACAATGCCCCAACATTGGTCAATACCGAACATATTTAGTCACCCCACCCCAAAACTTCTTCACCTCCTCACATTCCCACACAGTGGAAAAATGTAACTTGAAGCTTATTGCATTTAACACATAGATCAGGGATATTAGAGTTAAATTGATTTAATTAAGCTTCCAGGGGCTATATAAATTCTCATTACCCACCCAGTTATATTTTAAGAGTCTCAACTAAGTGTTCATAGTTTGTGTTTGTGCATTTAAACAAATTGCATTCCAGTCATCTAATGAAATATCCATATTTACATCTTGTATCCATGCTTGTCTTTTATTTTCAGAGCTTTCTTTATGTTTTTCTCTTAGTATGTTAACTGGGTAACACACCCTTTAATGTAGCAATCGTGCAATGTGATCATTTCAAATATTGACATTGGGAGGAGTTGCACAGAATTCTTTAAACGTGAAAAGGTAAAACTTCTGAGTTGCAGATACTTCAAAAAGTGTTTCTAGGGTATGTGAAACTTTGCTACAAGATTGTCAAATGGCATTAAAATAGTATCTTCATATAAATCCATCAATCTAACCATGCCCTTATTCCACAATTTAAACCCCAAATCATGTTTAGCTGGGCTGAAATGATGATTACCCCAGATATGAGAAAAGCAGGATAGAACTGGGAGGTCTCCAAAGGATGAAGTTTTAAAAAAAAATATATATAAAAAAGTTATTAGTATATTTTCTGTATGAAGGTTTAGACTGGGGGACACATGCCATTCAATGGAGAAGAACCTCTATATTTAAAGATATGTAAAGTTATTACATCAGTTTTATATTGCCTCTTATAGAAATGAACTTCAGTTGTCTATATATGTCGTTAAAAAAAACCTATGGAGGGGGGCCAGTGTATGTGTGTCTATATATAATTTAGGCCAGTGGTTCCCAACCCTGGTCCTTGAGGCACCTCAACACTGCTCGTTTTGCATGTCTCCTTAATCAAACACACCTGATTCAGGTCTTCAGCTCATTAGTAGAGACTCCAAGACCTGAAATTGGTGTGTCAGAGAAAGGAGACATGCAAAATGTGCAGTGTTGGGGTGCCTCCAGGACCAAGGTTGGGAACCACTGATTTAGGCTTTCTTATCAACCTATCGCAAAAGGTTTACTGTGTGGTCATATCAATGTGTAGCACGAACTAAACTGATGTGTTCCGTGACACCCGCTTGTTTCACTTATGGTTTTGCAGCTGATTCTTTATTTTATTATTATTATTTATTAGAGATTGAAAGATAGACATTGTCAAACTGTCAGTACACAAATACGAATGAAATGAAACAAATGCATATGAATTAAACCTAGGATCGGTCTATTTTAACTTATAATGGGCAACGTTCATTTGGTTGTCACAAAAAAATATATATTTGAAAAACAAACAAAATACATCAGGTATAATGTGTGAACACTGCCCTGTGTTTCGATACCGTACCTATGAAACTATACTCTGACTGTACTGACACGGTCGAGTTGGCTTTAGGCAAGTTTTCTACGTCACAAGTCGCGTGGCACGTGTTCATTCCAAATTTAAAAAGTCACGTGTGTCAGTTCACGCCATCTAAACCAAATCCTTTTTTTCACATTATTATCAGTCTCCGTAAAGACCATCAAAAATTGCCAATGCCGACTATATTTCAAGTCGTCATGACGGGGTATTGGGTAAAGTTTTCAATTAGCAATAATCGCGCCTCGGATAAACCTCATAGGCTACGATACTGCCACTGCGCAAAGCTGAAGAAGAGCCGCCTTACCGTCAGCATTAGTCCAAACACGCCTCACTTTACTCAGACGGTGACCACATGACGCTCACGACGAGCTGGCCAATCGAAAAACGAAGAAGACATGAGTTTGCATATCAATCTAGTTCTGTGTTTAAAAAAGAACAAATAAGCCAAAACAGACGTTAAAAATAAATGTTCACCTACTTTCGCGGTGCATCATGGGAACGTAGTGACGTAGGAGAAACGTAGGTGACATCACGGCTACGTAAGCGTCACGCCGTTGCAGTAAATGCAACCACCGCTAGATGTCAGCAACAGCTCAATTGTGAGATGTGACACCAAGAAAAAGCAACTACAGAAATCCATCCATAATTAAAAAGTTTATATATGTAGAATTATTGATTAGCTAACTTACTATTGTTATTTTAATTTATTGTATGGTTACTGTAATGTAAGTATTATGCAAGTATACAAATATGAACTCGAGAATAAAAAATATGAAAACGTTTTAATTTTATTGTAAGTAAATATATATATATATTTTTCATTGTTTGCATAATAAATGTATTCTGCTGTTTTATGCAACTTAATAAACATACAACAGCATCACTGATTAAAACAGTAGAGAAGTTTGACTAAATTACATATTTATTTATTTTTAATGAAGAAACACATAGAATATTTCTTAATAAATTGCGTTTTCATTGAAGAAGTTAGCATAGCATTTTGGGCAATTATGTACAATTATTTAAAATTCACCTTTTTGATTATATAGCAGTGATATTTTGATGAAAGAAAATAAATTAAATACGATTTCCATCTTTAAAAAAATATTAACCAACATATTAACCCATATATGATTGATAATAATAATAATAATAATAATAATAATAATAATGGAATTAATTCAAGATTCAAGATTCAAAAAACTTTATTAATCCCAGAGGGAAATTGCTTTCCATGTTACAATTGCTCTCAAGAAAGAAAGAAAGAAAGAAAAGGATAATAAAATGAATAAATAAATATATACCTATATATCAATAAAATTTAAAATGATTAAGTAACACATACTATACCAGTGAAAATGGTAGTTTAAATTAATTAAAGTGGAATGGAATGACAAATGTTGAATATAATAAGTCCAATATGGTAATGGTAATTAAGTACAGTAGTTATATAGTATGCACTGCACACTAATCTTAGTATTAATAAATAGGCAGTAATAATAATAATAATAATAATAATAATAATAATAATAATAATAATAATAATAATAATAATAATAATAATAATAATAATAATAATAATAATAATAATAATAATAATAATAATAATAATAATAAATTGCATTGCACAAGACAAGTCCCTTATTGCATATGAAATGAACATGTATTGCACATGCATTACTCAAAAATAATAATAATAATAATGAAATTAATAATAACTATAATAATAATTATTACTATTATTATCAATTCATTTTGTTAAGCACAGTTGTCAGGATATCTATTTTGGTGTGATTGTCCCAGCAGTCAGTCTGTCATTCTGATGTTTTTCATTGTGCTGATGCTGTTTCTATAGCGACTGATCGTCGTGGCGATGTGATGTCAGGACTCTGACAGGCTGAAGTCTTGATGATCAGCAGAACGGTCAGTCATGACGAGGATCCGCAGCTCGTGAGTATTGTGCTCACGTTGACCTACATAACCTAAACGATTCGCCCTTCCATTCGTTAAACTCATAAATCATTCAGATAAGAGCTTACTCAAACCGGTCTTTCCTCTTCTACCAAATGCATCCTATGGTTTCCAGGGCTGATAAATGTAGGACACGTCTGTCTTTGATGTATTGTTGAACGCTTTCTCGATCCGTAATGTTAGTCAACTTTCTGTTCTGGAAGTCTCTGTTTAGAGGAGGATAAATGGGATGTCAGTGCTATGTGGAGTTTCTGTTAGTTATTTTAATATATTTTTTGACCAATATTACCTCTGTTTGGGTGCAGGAGGAAGTCTGACATGATAAAGCGCGCTGAAGTTATATGAGAGCATATGAGAGGCACCCGAGGGCCCTGTCAGCCCTGCTTTGATTTGGATCCGGATCTCAGGGCTGGAAATAGAGATTAACAGATGGCAGAATGATGGCAGTGCATCAGGCTCAGCGGCCGGGCCTCACCCACGCCGTACCCGCTGCACCGTGAAATCTCTGGGGGTTTCGCACCATGCCCACACGAGAGCTCACGCTTGCTATATGAGAAAGAGCTACAGGATTGAAGCAGAAAAATCCCTTATGTCATGTAAGGATTTCACCACCATTTCATAACTCCACTGCAAAGTACTGAAATACGTTAAGCTATAAAGTTACCTACTATTTTTAAGTTACTGGTTAATATTGTAAAAGAATGAAAGAAAGATATAAATAGTATCAAATTTCTTCTAACATTCTTTTAATGTTATTATTAGTAGTAGTAAGTGTAAGTTACTTTACATAATAAAGTTATTATAACTATTAATTGTGTTATTTTCAATATGTTACATATTGATATTATAAAACAAATATAAAATATTATTATAAAATATTTTATTATTGTACAGAAGTTACTTATTATCTATTCATTAATAGTACAGTAAATATTTTTATGGTGCAATTGTATTGCACTATAGAGCAAAAGTTTTATTATTGTAGTTATTATCAGTAAGTTACTTATTAATATTATAAAAAAGCAAAGAAATATTTTATAGAACAATTCTATTGCATCAGAGCAAAGTTATTTATTCTTATTATTTAATATCATCAGATTAATATAGATGTATTAAATTAAGTTACGTATAATTATTCCATTTTATTTAATTCATTAATTTAATTATTAATTAATTCATATCATAAATAAGTTACTTGGTGATGTTATAAAGTAAATAATTAAACAATAATAATAATTGTACTTATAAAACAAAAATAATTATGGAGCAATTATATTGCATTATAGACCAAAATTTATTATTATTATTATTTGTACTAACGAATATGATAAAATAAATATGTAATAAAATATTACAGCTATTTTTATCAATGAGTGACATTGATATTCTGAAATATAAAATATAATTACATTATCAATAATTATAATGGTATTATTATTAAAATAGTATCATTATTTTTAGTTAAAGGTACTTTAAGTCAACTGAAATGTAACAAGAATGCATGAGAACTGAAAGAAACAACAGTAATCACAGACGAGATCAAAGCCAACCCCTAGTGTGTTACGTTCTCCGGACATAAGGGTTTTTATTGTTTATTCTGATTGGTCAATATGCAGAGATGTTCTATGCATTGTGCCGTTTCCCGTCTCTTGTACCCGTCAAGGTATATTAGACTCTATATACAAATGAAGACTATGAATGATGAAAATGAAGACGCTTTTTTCATCTTTGATCAAAGTGATGACAACAGCCTAGTTATCTATGAGTGCAAGTGTCTGTCAATTCTGTGAACTTGAGATCATTACCAACATATAACACTAGCATTTCCATTTCGGCTTTCCAAACACAGGTTATTTATGTCTGAGTCGGCGTGAAATCTTGCATTAGTTCTGGGTGAATAAGGAAGAAGAATTGAATCAGGTTGAGTGGAGGAGTGAATATCTATCTCTCACTCCACTGAGTCAGAAAGCGACATAACGCTACACAACTCTCAAACACACAACAGATGCAAGCGTGCACGCATGAACGGAGCTGATCTCAAAGCACACAGGTGGGCATACCTGCACAACACATTAGCACACGCAGCTGGTTAAAAGCAGGATCTCAGTCTTCAAACACACACACAACTTGTCTTCAGACTGTCTGTTGGGGATACACTGTGTTTAAGCTGCCAGCCATTGTGAAATTTACCATAGTTCCCTTTCATGGGAACTTCGAACTGCGTCCTCTAGGGGTCACTATGGGGAAACCTAGAGGACGCAGTGTCTCGTTCCCTACTCAGGGAACCATGGTTACATAAGTAACCTGAGATGTTCCCTTTCATGGGAACTTCGAACTGCGTCCTCTAGGTTTCCCCATAGCGACCCCTAGAGGACGCAGTTCGAAGTTCCCATGAAAGGGAACCATGGTTACATAAGTAACCTGAGACGTTATTCACTAACAAAAAAATACACATTCTGTGGGTTTGTAAATTTACACTGTAAAAAAAAAACGGTTTATTTATTGGTTTATTGAAAACTTTATTTATTTAAAAATTATTGAAATGAAATCTAAGGATATAAAATCTAAGGATATAACTAGTCTTACACTGGGGGGAAAATATATAAAACCTAACCTTTAAATGACTTGTTTTATTGAAATCAAAGATATTTTTAATGTCGCTGAATCAACCTAAATACATTCATTCATACCACCAAAACTAATTTTTATAGGTTAGAAATGGTAACAATTAAAGTAACAATTTTAACACAAATAATTACAAATACAGAGAATACTGCATGATGCAAATAAGCTTTGTTCTGTGTCAAAATCATTTCATAGTAGCCTATTCATTAACATGGTGATTCTTATTTGTTCAATAAACTTAATATTTCTGTGTGCTGTTTGCATTTACTCATTTTTCATGGTTGACTCTTAAGCTGTTAATTTGATTAATTCTAATTCTCTCTTGTTGAATTTGTTCAATTTAATTAAATGAGCATTGTTTGTACTGTGTTAATTGTATCGAGTATACACTGATAAAAATGATTCTGTGGTGAAGTAAATACTACGGAAAAACAAATGTAATTTCTATATTAAATAATTTTCAGGCAAGAATTTAAAAAAAAGAGTACATTCTATAATAGTACTCAATTTAAGCTTGTAGAAATTAAAGTTTGAACTTATAAGTATATTTTACTTGAAATTGTTACGTTTACAAGGATTCTTTGAGTAAATATCAAAGTTATGATTCCGTTGTTCCCATCATGCACTGGGGCAAGAATAATTCATAAGGTTCAATAAGATCACTGTTTTAGAGTTCTATTTACACTGTTTTATGGTTGCTTTTGTTGTAAGTGTTAGTAACTTGCTGTTTTGTGACATCTGGAGTTCATTTTCTTCTCAAAATGACCCATTCATACTCGTACACTATCCACTGATTGTTACTGTCATTGTGTATCAAGAATTGAGGTCTCTGTGTTCATTTGCGTTAAATCTTTATTGTGTAAATATATTATCCTAAAAAGAATAACAAGCCATCTACTTGCTTACTTACATAATTGTTACTGAACCATGTGCGTTAATAGTATGGTTTT